CATGGTGTAAAAGCTCAACAAGTGTCTTATAATTTGGAGTTAATCATACAAAGTAAGAAGAGTTTAGATATCTTGAGATAAAAGATTTTCATGTTTGCTGCTTTTTTATAATAAAAATCCCAACATTTTGCCATCTTATTTTTAACTACATGAACTTTGCAATTTCATTGGCTCATTCTAATGACCACCTAAAAGTCCTCAATCTTTGAATATTGCTTTATTAGCTCCTCTAACTGGTATTCTAACAGTTTAGCAGCAGTTATATTTATTAATGCTTTACATTTTTACCCCTTTTTACATAAACACACACAAATACACCAATGCATATACACACAAACATTATTGTCCTTGCGAGGGTTTGGGGGAAATGAAAATAGTACCTTTCTCCTCTTCTTTTGATTCCTTAGTTCCCAAATAGACTGGTGCTAGTCATTTAGTCATTTGTAAATTTCAGAATGTAGTTTGATTAAATGTGAACTGAATTCTCAACAATGAAAAATGTCAAGTTGGATTCATCTAATAAGTGAATATAATATATTTTGTAAACAGATTACATTTGAACGCCTAAATATTTGTTTCATAATCATTACATGCTTGTTTATGATTTACAAAGATTTGGTAGAGAAAAGTACAGTCCTTAAGGCATATATATGCCAGTGCATTAAACTACTCAGCTTTTGTGTCAGCTCAGGTGTTCATAGGAACAGGAATGTGGAATACCAGCTTTTTACTTTAATTATACTTTTATGCTTAATTTTTCTTCCAGTTAAATCTTTAATTACACTAGTATGTAAAGTAGTTACTGAGAAAAATGATTAAGTTTTTGATTTCCCTTCTGTTGATCTGTAATATTTTTAAATGAAGCTATTTAACACATACGACATGCTGATGTTACTTAATGGATTCCTATGTATTTCATTAAAAAAAAAAAACTCCCACCTGTGTTAGGACAGCTAAATATTTCTTGATGTTGGCTTGAGGACCAAGTGAGCCATCTTGCCAGTTAAGCAAGTTTTATGTCCAAGGACCAAATGGTTAAAAGAGGAGAATTTGTACATTTGTTGAGCTTCCCCATGTGAAGCTTGGGTTCAGTACTATCCTATTACTACTAGCCATCTTCATACTGAGTGAAGCAAATTGAAAGGGAATTCATAATCTTTTTTCTTATCTGAACAGAAAAACTAATGAAAATCAATAATACATATTTTAATTTTCATTCAACAGCTGAAAAACCATGTCTGTTGACCACATTGGACTATTGCCTAGTTAAAATCCATAAAATTCCCTATAAACCAATGAAAAGAAAGTAATCTGGCAATAATCTCCAACATTTTAAATTCTAATTTCTAGTTACAAAGAAAAAGGATAGAATGAGGCTTTTCAAGGAATTCTTGCTCATCCCTTCAATAATTTGGCAGGCAAAACAGTCCTAGAATTCAGCTTCCTTTTTGGTTTTATTACTATTAAATAGATAACTTTCATATAAATGGAAACACTTTTCCTCAAAACATTAATTCAAAACATACTCCTTATATTAAGGATTATAGCACCACATTTTTTGTAAATTCCCTATGTGTAACTTTTTCCTGTTGGTATGTGATTTTTTTTATTTAATATGACTATCTGCTGGTGTTGGGGCCAATAGATTGTGAATATTCCGTGGATGTGTCTATGTACAGGTGTATATATATATTTTTTTCCAGCTAATACCTCAAATGTGTGATTGTTTAATATATACCACACTATGTTTGCACAGTGCAGGGCTTCCATTAGCAGTGGGTATTTTTATTTCTAACTTTGAAAATCAGTCAACATAATTTCATTGGTGTGAATTCTTTCTGTTGCTCTTTTTCATATTTTAATGCAGAGATTCCTATTATAAGGTCCATGCTTCAAACATAATTATATCTTTCTATATCCAGCCATCTGGAAATATATAGGGTTAAGAAGTATTTCTTGAAATGTCCTTGTTTAGTAAGTTAGTAAAAACTGGGATGACTAGTTGCCAAGATGTCTTGTAACTGCATAGCAGATGACACCTGGCATGGCAAGCCTCATTTACTTCAGCACAAGACTGTACATTTCAATCTGATATTCTACTTTGCCATTTAAGTACACAATTAAAATCATAGAGATTTTCAGTGACATTGGAGTATTGTAATTATTAGTTTCAAAAAGAATTATTTTGAATAGGATGATTAAACCAGTGAGAAGAAAGAAACACACATAAATGATATTTTGCAGTTTATCTGTATTAAGAAATGCTTCTTGCCAATTTCTGGTTTTGGTTTTTGGATTGCTGCATAAGACTTTCTTTCCATTTACTTTACGTATTTTTAAAAGCTGCAGGTAATTTTTAAGGTTTGATGGAATTATAATGGAAGCCTTGTATAAGTTAAATGAAACTGGTAAAGGAGAGCTTACTTTATCTATAATGCATTCAGGATTATAAATTAGATTTTAAAATGAAATGTCTGATTTGTAAAATATTTAATGTTATATCAGACTTAAATAAAATTTTCTGTGAGAACGCAAAGTAAATGCATTTGATTTTTAATGAATGTTCTGAATGAAATATGAATTTTTGTCTTTCAGTCTCTGTAGTTTATCTCAATATATTAATAAAAAGGTCTGTTCTCACTGTAAAATGTTTGTTTTTATCATGTTTTATACTCAATATTATGGCCACTCTTTCATTCATTCAACTAGGCAACAAGTGTATCAATGCTTGCTATATCCCAGGCAGTGAGCTGGGTGCTGGAAATCAATCATTGAATAAGAAAGACAAAAACCTTAGAGTTTCCATCTAGCAAAGAAAATAAATATCAAGTAAATAATTATAATTATGATAAATTCTACAAAGAAAATTACAGGGCACAATGAAAGCATTTATCTAGAAGGCCTAAACTATTCAGTGAGGGTCAGGAAAGGCTTCTCTGAGAGTGAGTTTAAGCTGAAATGCAAACGAAGAGATTAGTAGGATTAAGGTATGCTAGAGAAATATCTCAGGCAGAATATGCTAAGTTGGTAAAGTGATAAAAATCTTCATGGAAGTGGAAACAAACTTGTATGATCATAGCATAAGGAATCCAGAGTAGGTGAGAGAATCAATATAGGGGCCAGATCCCCATAAGAACGATATATAAACCATGATGCTGATATTGAACTTTATCCTAAGTCAATAAAGTTCAAGAAAGGAGTTAAATGATCCGATTTGGGTTTTTAGAACATCATTTTTGTTGCTCTATGGAGACTGGAGGGCAAAAGAGAATGTAAGAAGAATAGGAGGTTATTGTCAAGAGAGAGATGATCATGGCTTGCACTAGGGTACAAACATAGTGACTAGTTTTCAAAGATAGGAGGTAGAATCAACAGAACTCTGATTAGATTTGTGACATGCAAGCAGCAATTAAAAACCAGGCTAAAATTTTCTGAAAATTTGGCTATGAAAGGGAGTAGAGGAAAAACAGGGTGGTAGCTGAAAGAGGATGTGATTTCTAAAGAAGCTTTTCTTTTGAGCATCTCGCTCTGTCACTCAAGCTGGAGTTCAGTGGGGCGATCACCACTCAATGCAGCCTCAAACCCTGGGCTGAAGGGATCCTCATGCCTCAGCTTCCGGAGTACCTGGCGCACGCCACGTTCGGCTAATTCTTTATTGTTGTTGTTGTTGTTGTTATTATTATTATTAGTAGTAGTAGTAGTAGAGATGGGGTTCTATCTTGCCAGGCTGGTGTGGAATTCCTGGGCTCAAAGGATCGTCCCGCCTCGGACTCCCAAAGTGCTGGGATTACAGGCGTCAGTCACCGCACCCGGCAAGGCTTATTTTTTTTTTTTCCAATTATTATTTATTATATGAGACCTTACTAATTTTTAAAAATTCTGATGTAAAAGGGAACATAGAAAGTACCCGTAATCCAGTGTCTGCATGTTAAAAGTAGACGCTTGAAGTGCTCCAGAAAACCCATGGCTCCTCCCCATTCAATCTAGATAAGGCCTTGAGTAAAGAGCACCCATGGGGAAGTCACAAGAACCTAGGAAACAAGTCAGAAACCTGTGGACCTGATACTTCCAATCACAGGCAATCTGTTGCTTGCTCTTCAGCTCATCACACCATCCCCTCAAATTTCTTCATCTACAAGAAAAGGTTTTAAGATAACGGACCCTGAAAAACTAATGACATTTATACACCCTCTCTGCACAAGAATGTCTTGTAACACATAACCTTGCTTGCATTTTCTGGGGTCCTCAGGGTCCAGCGATCTCGTACAAATCCTCTACCCCACAGCTGACGTCCCTCGGCCAGTGACACAAGGCGCAGGCGCAAGGCGCGGCTCGCGGTGGGCGGGGAAGGGGCGGGTCGCGTCGGGGGGCCGCGCCCTCGAAGCTTCCGCCAGGTCCTTCCGGAAATCCAGTATCGTGGGGCGACGGTGTAGAAAGTGCTTCCCGGAGCGTAGAAGAGGTCATCAATCATGTGACGGTGGCTTGAGGAGGAACCTGTCTTTAAAGCTGTCCCTGAAGTGACAGCGGAGAGAACCAGGCAACCCAGAAACCCCAGGTAACTGGCGCTACTTTGCCTGGTTTGAGGCCTAGTCCCGGAGGTGGCGCGGGTAGTGAGACTAAACAGAAGGAGAGGACCCCCTCTTCTTTTCTTTGGGCCTAGCTCTTTGGGGTAGAGGGGCAGGGATGGGGTGGGATGAGGTAAGGCGTACCAGCTGAGTACCCGTGGGGGTGTTGGGGCACTCCGATTCCCACTAGGCTCGCTGGGCCAAGCCTTAGAACCGCGGGGGTTTTGCCGGGTTCTGACCAGGGCTGATCTTGCTTATTAAGTTGGGGGTGGGGAAGACGAGGAAGCCAAAGAGGTAAGAGTCACCGGGAGTTTCTCTTCCAGGCGTGGAGATTGATCCTGCGAGAGAAAGGGGTTCATCATGGCGGATGTGAGTGACACCCCTACATAAGAGGAAGGGGAGAGTGGGGAATTTGGAGGGGAATACTGAGCGGGGAGAGGTAGAAGATCCTCCCATCCCCACCCATCCCAGTTAATTATTTTCTCTGGTATGTGAAGTGGGAGACTAATATGAATGAATTTGCAGGATCCTGAGTTTCTGCCTCGAATGGGGGTGGAGGACACTAAGGTGCTTGAGACTGAGAAAATTATGTTCTCCCTACTCACCAATCCAGCTGGGGCATAAGAGAGGCTCTGTGTATTTACCATTTGAAATTCTGAATGATGGTTGACTGCTTTTCCTGTCATAATTTGGTCAGTAGGACATGTATCCAGAATACTTTTTTCCAGTAAGTGGTAACAATATCTTATTAGGTTTATTGTAGCAATTTACGATGATTTCTAACCATACCTCTTTAGAAACATAACATGAAATAAAATGAGGTGTGTGTGTGTGTGTGTGTGTGTGTGTGTGTGTGTAGGATGAGAGCAAAAATAAGCCAATAGTCATAACATGAAATAAAATGATCATTCGGATTTGGAGAATAGTAAGTGTTGGAGGCTCAAAACAATAGATATCTGATTAATCCATGCGAGGTCAAAATTGATACCTAAATTGTCAGTGAAATTCCTGGGATGAGAGAGTGTAATGAGACAAAATAAGATAATCTTCTGGCCGGTGCGGTGGCTTAGTCTGTAATCTCTGCATTTTGGGATGCCAAGATAGAAGGATCACTTGAGGCTGGGAGTTCAAGATCAGCCTGGGCAACATAGCAAGACCCTGTTCTACAAAAAGAAATTTAAAAATTAACCAGGCTCATTGATAACCTTGTAGTCCCAGTTATGCTAGAAGTGAGGCGGAAGAATTGCTTGAGCCCAGAACTTGGAAGTTGCAGTGAGCTCCAGCTTAGAAAAATAAAATAGTCTTATATTTCTTTAGTCTTAACTGTGTTTAGTGTTAAACACTTGACACACTTCGCCATTTATCTTATATTCTGTAAGACTGGGCTGGGCGTGGTGGCTCACGTCTGTAATCCCAGCACTTTGGGAAGCCAAGGCAGGTGGATCACCTGAGGTCAGGAGTTCTAGACCAGCCTGGCCTACATGGTGAAACCCTATCTCTACTAAAAATACAAAAAATAAGCTGGGGCATGGTGGTGGGTGCTTATGATGCCAGTTACTCGGAGGTTGAGGCAGGAGAATCGCTTGAACCTGGGAAGCAGAGGTTGCAGTGAGCCAAGATCCCGCCATTGCACTCCAGCCTGGACAGCAAGAGCGAAACTCCGTCTCAAAAAAAAAAAAAAGACTGTTGCCTCACATAGTCATATATAATTTATTTTAGGTCCTTAAACAGAATATTTTAATAATTATGTTATAATAATATGCCTTACACTGTTTCATTATTTGTTGAGTAGGTGAGTTCAACAAATAATGAAACAATAGAAGGCTTATTTTTATAATGTGATAATCACGTGAGACAACAGTCTTACAGAAATCATATCACCTTACCCAAGACCATTAAAATGATGGTGGAAAGTCTATCTTTGAACCTGGAAAGGTGTTTATAATGTCTTCTCAAGTGAACACAATAGCAACAGGATATAAAACACTAGTATGAAAATTATGATGTAATTTTATGGCTAAAATGTATTTCTGTTTCCCATTTCTAGGTATGCTAATCCATGCAACTTCTCAAAAAACTTTAACAGCACTCTTATGATGTAGGTACTATATTAGCCCTATTCAACAAATAATGAAATAGGCTTAGGGAAAAAGGGTTAGTGAACTTACTCCAAGTTGCATGACTAGTAAACATCCAAATCAGACAGAGAAAGATAAAACACAGCAAGAAAGGTTATGAATGATAACTGAACGTCCCTAAAATTTGGATAGGACAGGATCTAGAAAACAGTGGAAGGCCTATTATTATAACATGATTTTTTAATATTCTCTTTCAGGACCTAAAGCGATTCTTGTATAAAAAGTTACCAAGGTAAGAAATTTTTAATTTGTTACTGAATAAATTCTATATGCCATATGTTAATTTTATGAAGTATTTTGTCTGTGTATTTTCAATGTTTTGAAGTATCTCTGAGATTTTGTTTAATATGAATATTTTTTGCCAGCATCATGTCCTCTGGAAAATTTTCATCACAACCACTTTCCTCATTTATTTCAATAAGTTTGCCTTCACTGAGTTCTCTGTGTATCTAGAGGGATAGTGTCAGCATTCCCTTGGTCACCTGTTTCTTCTATAACTCTTTGTTTGAAATTTACTTCCAGCATTATTACTTTTCATTTCTTTGCTGTATTTCATCTTTGTTGGCCAGTTTCCTCTTTCTATTATCTCTTTTTCTAAATGTCACATACTTTATCATTGGGAGACAAGGAGGTACAAAACTACATGCTTTGCTATCTCTGCATGAACTGTGTAACAGATGCACAGTGACCAGCCATCAACATACTTTGAAAGAAATGATGTGGCTGGTTACTGATGACAGTGTGCATCTCTTAATTACATAATTATTTATGTTATCATTTGTAGACTAAAGAATTAGAAAAGTTTATACTTTATGCAGTTATTCAGGTACTATGCCATGCTAACTAAAATTTGACCTGTGCTCTTCTGCAGGGAGTGGTGTTACTTAACCATACTAACTAAAATGTGCATATTGAAACTGTGCAAAATGAGGACTTTCTGTATTTTTCTGTAGTTACCTTAGCATAAAGAAAGGGTGCTCAAATTGGAATGGAGAGATACCCCACCACACTGGCAATATGACGGAATAGTTAATAGTGCAGTTAATTCACTTAGAAGTCTTAGTGATTTACAATCCTCTTTTGAGTGTTAGCATCTCTTATTGAAGAAATAGCAAAATTGCATTCAATGTTCTTAAGTTATAAACCCACCAGAAAGATACACATTATTCATCTGGAGATCTAATAAATAAAGCAATAATTGATTCTAATTACATCATCTGTGATTATAAGTATCAAAAATGTTTCAGACAATGGTGATCTCATTTTAACTATTAAGTGTACTCTGAAAATCATAATAGCGTGTGACACTGAGTATGGTGAAGCTGTCTGTATAAAGGAATTAGAGAATAAAACCAAAAGTATTTATTATATTACTGAGTAGTTCTAATGTTGATCAGAAATAGTTGGAAAGTAAATGCTTGCTGCTGCTTTGAATTCAGATGTCTTTTATCTTTTAACGGAAGGGGAAATATCAGGTTGTCGTGCTTATCCAAGAAATAAATTCAGTTAAAGGATATTTGTTAAAAGCTTTATGAAAATCTTTCATAATGGCAGGAAAGGTATTAGTACTGTCAGGTTTTTTTTTAAATAATGAAAAAAAGCCAGTTCAACTCATATCATTTATTGAAAATAGGCTTACTGCATCCCAGAACAATAATAAGAAATAATAATGTTTTGAACATTCATGAAGAATAGTAGAATACACTTTGATTTGTTGCTAGATGTATGGGTTTGGATGCAGGCATCCTGCTTCAGAGCCATGGATTCATGCTTTTAACTGTTGAACCTCAGTGCCTCTCAGTAACAAAGTCTGCCAGCTACGGATACTAATGAAATGTGTGTTTTTGTGCATTTTTTGAATTCTCTGCAAAATATCGTTCTTGCATTTGCAATTTAAAATCTGGTTGTGACCCAAAGCAGTCTCAGGCTTTAATAATCCCACTTTGTATGTTTTAAAATAATCAAATATTTCTTAATTATGTGTGTAAAACTAAATCTGATGACTTTGATTAGTAATGCAACGTTTGCTTTTAGAAAAAAATGGTTGTTTTAGTAAGCTTAAGTTTTAGATTTCTTCAGAATATTTCACAAAATTTAATTCAGTTCTTCTAAAAGTATAGTATCTCTTCATGAGCCAGTTATTTTTAATTATTAGTAAAATCTATTCATATTACTCTTTGTGCATTGTATGTAGAATTGAAAACAGCTTTTATATTTGTGACCTGATTTCTAAAATTATATACTTAAGAGTGTAAGTAATTTTTCTACTTTCTTGAATTCATTTCTCTGTGAAGTCCATCAGAAAGAAAGTCCTTTTATTTTCTTTGGAGCATTCGTTGTATTTAAAGTAATTTCCATGGAAATTTTAAAAAAGAAGCTACCTGTGGTGGCACTAATTTTTCTAAACATTTTTGTGGTCCTCTTTACCTGTTTTTTAAGTTATTTTGGGAGTGGGTAGTACATTCATAAAGTTCAGATTCAAGAGTTCACTGAAGAACATAGAGTGAGTAGCTGCCCATCCTTCCTCTCCAGCCACATGCACAGTTTCCCCTCACAGAGGCACCCACCATTATCTGTAGAGATATTTTATGTACCTATGAGCAGACATGTATATACACATATTTATACACACAGCATACACACATGCCTGCACATTTTGGTACATAATTTATTGCTTCTTGTATACACTGTTCTAAACTGTATTTTTTCACTTAAGAATGCAACTTTGAGAGTAATCTTTCCTGGTACATAGAGAACTTCCTCTTTCTCATGACTGCAGAGTATTCCTTTGTAGGTGTATATCATATCTTACCTTGTCCTTCTTGATGGACAGTTGGGTTTGTAATGCTTTACTGTTTCAAATGATGTTGCTTTTGGTAACTGCACAGAATAATTGGCATATGTACAAATATCTGTAGGATATGTTTTATATAATCTAGTTTTTAACTTAGAAGAATATATTTATTTTATGTATTTATCTGTTTTGTTTTGTTTTGTTTTTTTCTGAGACAGTGTCTCATTCTGTCACCCAGGCTGGAGTGCAGTGGTGCGATCTTGGCTCACTGCAATCCAGGTTCAAATGATTCTCATGCCTCAGTCACCCAAGTAGCTGGGATTACAGACAAGCACCACCACACCCGGCTAACTTTTGTACTTTTAGTTGAGACGGGGTTTCATCATGTTGGCCAGGCTGGTCTCAAACTCCTGACCTCAGGTGATCTGTCCACCTTGGTCTCCCAAAGTGCTGGGATTACAGGCATGAGCCACCGTGCCTGGCCTATGTTATGTATTAATCTTAGAGATATATTTTAATCCATAAATAAGTTTAGGATTGAATGAATAGGAAATCATGCCAATAATAGGATAAAAATAGTATAAAAGTCATTTATAAAGTTATTTTATTCTTATTTTTTATGTAAGGAAGACAAATGATTTCGTTTGTAACATTTTCCACTCACATTTAATAACACTTCTCTGACTTAAAAGTTTTTGACAATGGGGTTTGTAAAAATTTAATGTCAGTATTATAAGGTTAATATAGTATTTCTTATTCCTTAGTTAATACATTAAAGTTAACACTTTAAAGATAAGGCAAAGAATAGATAATTCCGGGTTGCTGTAGGGATATTGAACATATCTCTGAGTTGTAGTTTATAGATTCCATAAGATAGTTACAGGACTATACGTTTTATGTTACATTGAAAGGGTTTTACATAAATGTTGAAAGTTGAGGAGTGTCACCTTATATTTTTTAACACAGTACTTTTGTGCTCTACTGTATGTATTTCTTAATTGCTAATTTCTCAGGGATTCTCACTGATTATTTAGTACTTAAACTTTAGTGATAAATTATGTCATTGTCGCTGTGCACAATTGACACCATTGGTATTAGTTAATAAGTGATATTTTCGAATTATGTGCCAGCCTACACTTTATGTGCGTTGTATTAAATTTCACAATATCTAAGTAAGTACAGTTATTCCCATTTTTCAGATAGTTAATCTGAGGCTTATAAAGGTTTCATAACTAGCCCAAGACAGCATAAATAATCAGTGGCAGAGCCTGGACTGGAACCCAGGTCTTTCTAACTTTAGAGCTATAGCTTGACCATTCTGCTTACTACTTATGTAAGCATGGCTGAAAGGATTGCTGCATGGCCTTCATTCGTTTTGCCCTGTTTCTTCAGCCAGGAACAGTCTTTCCACGTCTTTTCACTTAGTACCATAACATCTCAGCTGAGATATTACTGCCTCAGAAAGCCTTCCCTGGTCCAGTCTCTGTCTGCATCAACCTCCTGTTTTCTAGGTTCTTATATCACTATGAACTTTTTTTTTTTTTTGAGACAGAGTCTTGCTTTGTTGCCCAGGCTGGAGTGCAGTGGCACGATCTCAGCTCACTGCAAGCTCTGCCTCCCGGGTTCATGCCATTCTCCTGCCTCAGCCTCCTGAGTAGCTGGGACTACAGGTGCCCACCACCACGCCCGGCTAATTTTTTTTTTTTTTTTGTATTTTCAGTAGATGGGGTTTCACCGTGTTAGCCAGGATGGTCTCGATCTCCTGACCTCGTGATCCGCCCCCCTCAGCCTCCCAAAGTGTTGGGATTACAGGCGTGAGCCACCGTGCCTGGCCCCTATGAACTTTTTAACAATACTTGCCCCCAATTTTAGTTTTACGTTTGTTCTTGTGAGATTATTGATAACACACTCACTTTTTAGATCGGAAGCCACGTGAAGGCAATGATTGTGCTTATTTCTGTTTTTCATAGTATCAAAGTATTAAGTGCCACAAACACCGGCCATTTAATATTTGCATGAATGAAAAAAGAAAAAGGCTCTTTTTTGTCACTGTAGCCATTGCTGATAATCTTTCATGCTTTTGTAAACCATGGACTGATCATTCATTAGCAGTTTTAATGGAGAGTTAGCTTTGTCTTAGATTCTTATTAATAAACCGCATGAATTTATAAATATTATAAACATTTCTATAATACACATTGATTCCATTTCTGGGAGAATTTTGGGGTCCTGTGGTTTTTCAGAAAATACATGAGAATTATTATGTCTTTGAGGTACATAGTTTGAGAAAATGAAAATTTTATATTTTAACTTTTTTTATATTTTAACTATTTTCTTTTTCTAGTGTTGAAGGGCTCCATGCCATTGTTGTATCAGATAGAGACGGAGTACCTGTTATTAAAGGTAAAAGTGAACATTTAAATGCAAATATCTTCTTTGCTTTTTACTAAAAATGTGTGTAATTTACATCTGAGTAGTACAGCAGGCAAACATGTAAAATTCATTTTAGTAAATTTTAGGAGATGGTGGTCTTAGTATTGGCGGAAGTGTTTGCTTTTGTATGTTGAAGGTTGAATTTGAATCTACAGTGTATTATGTATCAGGTGTATCATGTTAACATCTAGAGTTTAAGCATGGATTTATCACAGACCCATTTCCCATTAAAGACATTTACAGTGCAATGTAAACCATTAGTAAATCTAAGTGATGAGAGTGAGCATGTAGGCAGCTAAACACACAGACACCCCTACATTACATACACACACACACACACACACACATTTTATCAAATTGCTAGTTGTTTTAGGATAATACCCATGTATTTGAATCATAAGTAAACATGATGTCACAGAGAGTCAGTATGGATTCAGACAATTTTTTACTATTTTTATTTTATGGTATTATGAGCATGGATGTTCCTAGTTTTTTTGGGACACTGTAATGGCTTTATCAAACATTAAAGATTGGATAATGTTCTGTATATTTTGTGTACAATTTTCCACCTGGAGTTGTCATATATGTCAGATAATTTTAGACTTTAGAAATGGAGGTTTAGAAGTCAACTGATTTAGTTCTTTCATTTTATAAGTGAAGGTAATGAAGTGCAAAGACACTTGGACTTTATTAGCAGTTTCAATGGAGAGTTAGCTGTGTCTTAGATTCTTATTAATAAACTGCATGAATTTGTAAAGATTATAAACATTTCTATCATAGACATTGATTCTATTTCTGGGAGAATTTTGACAAACACATTATAAGAATATGGAATATCAACAAAGGCGGTCCCGTGGTTTATAATCTTCAAACATTGCAGCCCAAAGTCGGGCGTGAGTCAGTAACAGAACCCATCATCTCCTGATGTGTGGTCCAGTGTGCTTTCTAACTCACTATAAAATGGTCGTTGAATGGCTGTGGACAGATTACTTGCTTTCTCTTAATTCTGTAATGAAGGATTTGAACAAAATAATCTCAGATTTTCCAATTCTAATGTTCTTCATGAGGATATCTGTGTTAAAGCCTTGAGCCCTGCACTCATTAATACAACAAACTCCATGCAGACCTTTTAATGAGTGAGAGAAACATGAAACAGGTAACTAGCTGCAGATTGCTAATATCTATGAGAGATATTCCTTGCTGTGGGTTTTATAAGAGCAGAAGTTTTCTAACTTTTTTCATTAGTTTATTCTAACCTAGTCCTCAGATAATCAGTTAAATGTACTTGATTAATCTATGTTTTAAGTTAGATATCAAGAAAAGGTAAACATTTAATTTTCTTTTTAAAATGTAAAAAAAATTGTGAGAGTCAGCATTTCTTCTCTTATTTGTGATCAGTGAACTTTTGACTGAGCAATTTTTCCTGATCAGTGATGAGACCCCATTAGTGATATGATTTTCAATATTGTGAAACATAACCTTTGTGCTCAATTTTAAACAGAGGTTTATGAAAAAGGGCTGTAAATCTCTCTGTCATATCCTCTGCATAATTTTTATTTAAATCACTTATTTTTCTAGTGGCCAATGACAATGCTCCAGAGCATGCATTGCGACCTGGTTTCTTATCCACTTTTGCCCTGGCAACAGACCAAGGGAGCAAACTTGGACTTTCAAAAAATAAAAGTATCATCTGTTACTATAACACCTACCAGGTAAGTTCATAATTATCAAATGATTTGCTGATTTCAGTTGTCATTTTTGTGCTTTTTATATATAAAATATTTTGTGTTATAGTTCTCAATTTTAGTTTTGAAGGGGATGAAATTGTAAAATTTTAGCCTTCAAATTGGTTGTGTTAAACGGTAGTAATTTTCTTCACATTTTATACCAGGAAATAATTACGATGGAAAAGTAATTAAGTGACTTAATAAAGTACATGTTATCCTAAAAAGAGTACGTCAGGTCACTGTTATCTCCAGTAGATGGTGCCCTTAGCTAAACAACTGTGATTTCTCAGATGACACACTTTTTTTGTTGTAGTAACAGATAAAAAAAACTTTCCTTGAAAGTTTATTAAAGTTGCTCTTGCTGCTAATTCCTTCATTTTTTGGAAACATATATATGTAATAAATGACATTATTATTTGTGAGAAAGAAGTTAGTTTTTACATGTCTCTTGATCTCAAGCTGTATTTTCTTAAGACTGAATTAATTCCTTGTGCTTTAGAGCTATGTTTCCTCATCAACTGATGTTAAGTTACTCTTTTTTTTTTTTTTTTTTCTTCCAAGACAGAGTCTGCCTGTGTTGCCCCATGCTGGAGTGCAGTGACATGATCTCATCTCACTGCAACTTCCGCCTCTCAGGTTCAAGAGATTCTCAAGCCTCAGCCTCCCAAGTAGCTGGGATTACAGGCATGTGCTACCAGGCCTGGCCAATTTTTGTATTTTTAGTAGAGATGGGCTATCACCATGTTGGCCAGGCTAGTCTTGAACTCCTGGCCTCAAGTGATCCCATCCACCTCAGCCTCCCAAAGTGCTAGGATTACAGACGTGAGCCACCGTGCCAGGCCCATCTTTTATTTTAAAAGTTATGTATTTTAATGTGTATTAGGTACAATATAACCAAACCATCTGACCTTTAATTTCAAATAAAGGTTAGGTTGAAACTAAGTTTTTTTTTTTTTTGAAGGTAGTTAATTTAAAGTTATTTTAAATTTAATTTAAATTACTGTAATACACAAGAGCCAGAAAATATCGTGAAGATAAGCCTACCTGAATGACTGAGAAATACTGTATTTATCCATTTAATTATCAACTACTTATTAAGTCCTTATGATGTAATTGACATTCTGCTGGGCTTTAGAGATAAAAAAAATGAAGACATGGTTTCACCTTAAAAACTTTCCAGGCTCAATGGTATTAATGTCTCTAAGAGATCATCACTAATTATGGAAATATTCACTGAAATATAAAGTTCCTTTCTATTTCATAATGTAATACTATGATGTTGGACTAAAACATTGATCATTTTAAAGGTTTTGAAAGATTAAGACATTTCAGTTTAGTTATACTACCTTTTCACAATGCAACATACTATTTGGCTCTTATTTTCTTTTTAGGTGGTTCAGTTTAATCGTTTACCTTTGGTGGTGAGTTTCATAGCCAGCAGCAGTGCCAATACAGGTGTGTTTAATTACCTTAAATATCACTTTTAATCCTTAATTTAAAAAAATTAATTTAATTACCATACCTTAATTTAAGAGGAATAGTAGATTTAGAGCCAAAAATCTTGAACTTGTGGCCCAGTTTCACTGTCTTTTTTCCATGTCTTGGGAAGTGATTTCTCTGAATCCTAGTTTCCATATCTGTATAATGGAGATAATATATGCTTTCTCCATCTTACAATGTTATTTTCTAGTTCAAATGAGACCGTATGGGTAAGTGATTTTTTTTTTTTTTTTTTTTTTTTTTTGGAGACAGGAAAATTAAATATTATCTTGAGTGCTACATCTTGCTCCCATTACAGCAATTTAAGAAAACAAGGTGAAAATAACCCAACAAAATGCATTAAAATGATTGATGAGTTATAGACCAATCTATTAAATTAGAATTTTTAAAATTTTACCTAATGGGGAAATGAATGTGATTGAGAATTTAAAGAGCCTGAATAAGATGAACGTAGTCTCATTCTTCTTGAGAAGTGAAGAATTTGAGAACAAATGCTAGGAAGCTGTATCCTTTATAGAGGATAGTAAAATTCCATTGTATCCAATACTTTCACCGAATATTTATGTGTAAAATAATGACTTTTCACTTGGTTGTAATTTTTTTACTTCATTTTATATAAAGTAGGATTTTTATTAAAAGGTCTGTCTCCTTTAGATTTGATTGCTGTTGAGAATTGTAATATATTTTTTTTCTGTTTGATTTTTCTCCCAAGCTGAGCAAGTTCTTCTAGCTATGTCACGGAAGCCTGTTCTTAGATACCTTATCTTTAGAATGAGAGGTTTAGATTTGATGGTCTATTAGATCTCTTGCATTTTGAAACATTTTAGAAATCTGTAAAATACTATATGTAAAAGCGCTTTCTGAATTATATAGGATAGTAATGGTGTTTAGATTTTAAGTATATTTATGAAATATACTAAATCTCAATTTTGTTACATGACCTATCACATACCAAGTCACCAGTTGTTGTATATTATGATAATGTACAGAACAATATTTTAGTACTTGGACCCTTTCCTTGAGAGTCCAGATGCTTTTTATGTTCTATAAGACAGAGAAAGATCTTTATTTGTTTGAACATAAAACAGGCTCTGTTTGAGGTAGGTAGCCTTTCACTCTAGTAAACTAAGGAGAAGCTAGATATGCTGATTTCTAGATGTTTATCTCCCAGGTTCATCGATGAACTCCAGTGTGTTTTATACTCTACCATTTATTTTTTAAATATTTTTTCATTTGAAATATTTATTTATGTCTTAGCTTTGTTGAATTTATAAAAATAAATTTCTGATTTCCTTTGTTCAGTATAGAAGCTATCTACCTATCTTTTGATGTAATCCGTTAAAATTTGCTCGGAGACAAATGCCTGATTTAGTAAAAATTATAGGTATTATTTCTAAGTCAATGCAAATTTTGGAACAGTAAGGTATAAATTAAGATTTTCGTTCTAGAACTCTAACAAATTATAGTGCATATAATTTATTCTGTATTTCCTAATATATAAGTATTTTTCACTCATTTACTTCAGTAATAGATGCTGAAAATAAACTTATTAATGACTACAGAGTTTTTGGTTACTTTATTTAGGGTTATGGTACAGGTTGAACATCCCTCATCCAAAAATCTGAAATCCAAAACATTCTAAAGTCTGAAATTTTCTGAGCACCAATATGGCATTCAAAGAAAATGCACACTGGAGCATTTCATATTTGAGATTTTTGGATTAGGGATGCTCAGCTAGTAAGTATTGTACAAATATTCCAAAATTGAAAACACTTCTGGTACCCGGCATTTTGGATTAGGGATATTCAACCTGTATTTTGTTTCAGTTATGGGAAATAAACTATGTTCTGATTTACTTTTGGTAACTATGTATTTTGGGCTTGAGGAAATTTGAATTTCAGACTTTGAGAAACATTTTTCTAACATGTAATTTTCTTAATCTCTTTATTTTAGGACTAATTGTCAGCCTAGAAAAGGAACTTGCTCCATTATTTGAAGAATTGAGACAAGTTGTGGAAGTTTCTTAATCTGACAGTGGTTTTAGTGTGTACCTTATCTTCATTATAATAACACACTATCAATCCAGCAATCTTTAGACTACAATAATACTTTTATCCATGTGCTCAAGAAAGGGCCACTTTTTCCAACTTATACTAAAGAGCTAGCATATAGATGTTAATTTATGGATAGATCAGTTGCTATATTTTCTGGTGTAGCGTCTTTCTTATTTAGTGTGATCTAGGGATACCACAGAAATGGTTCAGTCTATCACAGCTCCCATGGAGTTAGTCTGGTCGCCAGATATGGATGAGAGATTCTGTTCAGTGGATCAGAATCAAACTGGTACATCGATCCACTTGAGCCGTTAAGTGCTCCCAATTGTACAATATGCCCAGGCTTGCAGAATGAAGCCAGCTTTTTATTGTGAATAATAATAAGGACATATTTTTCTTCAGATTATGTTTTATTTCTGTGCATTGAGTGAGGAACATAAAATGGCTTGATAAAAGTAATAAAATCAGTACAATCACTAACTTTACTTTGTACATATTATTTTGCAGTATAGATGAATATTACTAATCAGTTTGATTATTCTCAGAGGGTGCTGCTCTTTAATGAAAATGAAAATTATAGCTAATGGTTTTTCCTCAAACTCTGCTTTCTGTAACCAATCACTGTTTTAATGTTTGTGTGTTCTTTATAAAATTTAAATACGATTCGTTATTCTGTTTCCAATGTTAGTAAGTATGTAAACATGATAGTATAGCCATTTTTTTCATTCGTGAGTGAAAATAAAATAGTATTTTTAAAAATATAGTTTGAGCACTATATAGGTCCTTTTTTTGTTCAGACTTTTTCCAAAAATCTAAACTTAATTACTCTTTCAGCCACATGAATAAATAATGAGTGTTTCTTGTAGGTATTGGTTTGGAGGTTGTTTTACGGCAGTATAAACTGTTAATTGGAAAATAAACCTCAGGTTGCAGTCAGCCGAGATTGCGCCACTGCACCCTAGTCTGGGCAACAGAGACTCCGTCTCAAAAACAAAACAGAAAAGAAACCAAGAAACCTCAGGCATGAAGCTAATTTAATCTCCATGAAAGAAGGACTACAGTTCTAGAATATACCCTTTATGTTCAGGAATGCAGTCTATCATTCAGAGTTGTTAATTTCTCTCTAGTTTCTTTGACAATCAATTTTTCCCTGGAACAGTTCAGTACATGTGCATTGAGCACCTGTGTGCCAGTCAGCAGAGCTATCACATTGCACAATGCTAAGAAGCACCATTCATGTCACATCATATTTCTATGCTCTGGGAGTTGCTTTTCACATAGAATATGTGTGATTGTTATCCCTAAAATTGTGCAGTGAGGCAGTTGGCTAGGTGCTGTGCTGCTTTTTCTTTGTTTTTGTTGTTTTTTTTTTTTTTTTTAGAGACAGAGTCTTGCCATGTTGCCCAGTCTGGAGTGCAGTGGTGGCATGATCTTGCCTCGCTATAACCTCTGCCTCCTGGGTTCAAGCTGTTCTCATGCCTCATTCTCTCTTGTAGCTAGGATTACAGTCTTACACCATTGTGCTTGGCAAATTTTTATATTTTCAGTAGAGACAGGAGTTCACCATGTTGGCCAGGCTGGTCTTGAACTCCTGACCTCAAGGGATCCGCCTGCTTTGGCCTCCCAAAATGCTAGTATTACACGTGTGAGCCACAGCACCAGGCCATGTGCTACTTTTTCTTCCTTCCATCCTTCTACCCTCCTTCCAGTGTAAATATGAGATTAATTTGTGATACTGTCCTTTAAAGAACTTAGAGGTCAGTAAAGGAAGCGGGTATAGAAAGTGCTATGATAAAGCTATACATAGGATGGTATAGAACCACAGACTAGAGGCACCTAAAATGGGCAAGAAAATAGCCTTTACAAATAAATAGAAGCAAGAGATACAATGCTTTACTTGCAAAAAAACCACAAATACAGTCATGTACCATATAATGATGTTTCAGTTAATGAAAGACCACATACGAGGGTGGTCAGAACAGCAGGCTATACCATATAGCCTAGGTGTGTAGTAGTAGGCTATACCATCTGAGGTTCCTGTCAGTACAGTATGATGTCCATATAATGATGAAATCACCTAACAAAGCATGTCTCGAAATGTATCCACATTGTTAAGCAACACATGACTGTAGTTAATTGTTACAATTGAAATATTAGATGTACTCATTAAAATCCAGAATTCCCATTATCTAGATTATTATTTAATAATGTTCAGGAAATTTTGCCAGTGCAATAGTGCATTAAACAATGTCTTTTAGAAATGAGGTGGCCAGATTTCTATTTGCAGGTAATAATTGTATATCGAAAACTAGAAAAAGAAATGATTATAAATGGAGCTACTTAACCTTTACATGTTGAATGCTGCCACTGTTAAAATTTCTGAGGGGGTATAATAGAGAAACTATCCCATAGTTCATCTGGAAAAATAAGTAGGTGAAAATAGCTAAGAAGTTTTTGAAAGGGTAATATAAACCTAGATTAACTATTTTTGAAAGGTAGTACAGAACTGAATGCACAATTAGATATCTATGGTAGGTACTCACCCAAAAAATATTTCAGTATCATACATGTGAGGGCTTAAAACATTGTGATAACGATGGGATCACAATGGGAAAAGGATTATCCAATAAGTAGGGCAGGCATTCTCTGTGCCTGCTAGGGAAGTGTAACTTGTTATACTCTTTATGTACAGCAGTTGGCAGTCTATGAAACTTAAATTCACATACATAACCTTTTGCCCTGCAGTTCCACTTCTAGAAATTTATCCTACCAAACAAAGCACATAGATGTGCAAAAGTATGTATTTACAAGTATATTCTTTGCAACTTGGTAATATCAAAGAATTGGAAGCAACCTAAATATCTGCCATAGGTAGGATAACCGTATCCTCTGGCTTTTTGAACACTATCAGTTTATACCTGCTGTTCTTGGTATAATTATTAATCGTGCTCCTTTCACTCTCATTGTCTCACTTTAGATAATAAATTACACAGGATTGGTGAAACAAATTTCATTTGCCCAGTGGAAAAAGGAATGAAGAAGTGCTTTAGGTACTGAGATGAAAGGATCTCTAAGGCATAATAATGTTTATCGAGAAAAGCATGGTGTGAAACTGTGTGGCATGCTACAATTGATGTATAAGAAGAAAAATGTGTGTATTCATATTTGTTTGTGTATGGTAGACTGTCTCTGAAGATATACATGGAAGAACCTGATCACATTGGTAGTCTCCAAGGAGTGGAACTAGATACCTGGGGGATAAGGATCCCAGGAGTGCTCCTTTTCATTGTAAACTTCATTGTACTTTGAGTTTTTAACTGTTCAAAACTATAAAATTAGAAATAAAATATTTCAACAAACAATAAAATGGGATATTTGGGGAAGAAAGTTATCTCAGGGCCTCCAAAGAAGCAGAAGCAGTTGGATATATGAGTATTTATTTCAAGGAAGTGGCTTATGCAATTGTGGGGACTGGCAAGTCTAAAATCTGTGGGACAGGTCAGAAGACTGAAAAGTCTCAGGTAGGAGCTGAGGCTGTGGTTTGGGAGCACAAGTTCTTCCTCTTGGAAACTTCAGGTTTGCTCTTAAAGCCTTTCAGTTGATTGGATGAGTCTCACCCACATTATGGAGGATTATCTCTTTTTACTTAAATTTAAGGGATTATAAATGTTAAGTACAACTCCAGAATACATCCACAGGAGTACCTAGATTCAAGTTTTATAATAGTTTTTTAATAGTTTTTTAATAACTAGGCAATGTGTCCTAGCCAAGTTGATGCACAAAACTAACCTTCACAGTCCACTCTTAGTCAGCTTGGCACCTGTATGCATCTTTTTTGTTTTTTTTTTTGTTGTTATTTTGTTTTTTTGTGAGACAGTCTCACTCTGCCACTTAGGCTGGAGTGCTATGGCCTGATCTCAGCTCACTATAACCTCTGCCTCCTGGGTTAAAGCGAGTCTCCTGCCTCAGCCTCCCGAGTAGCTGGGATTACAGACGTGCACCACCACACCTGGCTAATTTTTGTATTTTTAGTAGAGATGGGCTTTTGCCATGTTGGCCAGGCTGATCTTGAACTCCCAACCTCAGGTGATCTGCCTGCCTTAGCCTCCCAAAGTGCTGGGATTACAGGCATGAGCCACTGCACCTGGCCTGTATGCATCTTAAACCATATTTTAGTCTCTATTCAAATAAAGACAGTAACTAGGTTGTACTTCTAACATGTACAACCACGAATATTCCCTGGAGGAGGTTTCCTCAGAAAAGGATGCAATCCATTCCCCAAAGGAGGATGCAAAGTCCTTTGTGATCACTTTTTTCCTTGCTATCCTGTACCTTAATACTGCGATGTAAGGATACTACTATTAATATATCTTACATTAGCTAAGAGGATAAAGGAGGGGGAAAAAGATTTGTTCAGTATATATATGTGTGTATGTGCAATATATACATATTTGTATACATAAGTATGCAGACATAATCACAGTTCTTGTTTTGGCAATTGGACATGTGGTTGTAGCTGGTATTTTTAACACCTTGCATTGCCTATTCCATATTTCCTTGCTCTCAGCAAGCAACTTGGCTATTTGGGATTCTGCCTGGTGAGGTATTCCAAACCTTCATTCCTGAAGAATCTGAGCATTCGTTGTCCTTCCTGTATTGGGTTTTAAAGTTTTCCATTGACTTGAATCAGGGCTTGGTAAAACAGATCTAGTGGATCTCCTGTATTCTAGACATACCCTTCTTTATTTCCTTGTGCAGTAGCAGCCCAGTTTCCCCAGGCAATCAGGACTAGTCACCGTAGTCAGTACAGTAATTCTCTTCTTTATGTGTTGATTCAGAGGCATGAGGAGTGCAAAGTGGCAGAGTGGTAATCTTCATGTCCAGTTTAATAGAATCATTGTGTCTCCTGGTTGAGGTATTACTGGTTTTGGAACAAAGTCTGCTAGAACTAAAGAGCATAGGCACTTGGGGACAGAAAACAAAATTCATGCCAGTGGACAAGGGGTGATAGTGAGTGGCACAGCTCCCATTTCCACCCCTTCATTGCTGGATCTGTGAATCCTGGCTCTGGAAGAAAGAACACCATATATTGGATGCTGATTTTACAGCATATATAGCCTCCTGGAGAACATTGCCTCAGCCCTGCAAGGTATCGCCACCTACCTAGTGCTGTAACTGAGCTTTCAAAAGGCTATTCTACCATTTTCTCAAGCCAGCTGCTCCAGGATTATGGGCAACGTGGTAAGACCAATGAATTACATGAGCAATATAGAAAACAATGTTGCCTCCAAAATCCAAAGATGCTTGTTAGGTATGTACTGTTTTTTTTTTTTTTATTGTCAGAGGGCCAGATGCAACAAGTTATTCTTTACCTTAGGAGAGATATCTTGACATGTCCCACAACACTGGACCCCTAGAAATTTTGGTAAATTGGAAGGCACTTGATTTTTTGTCATATTTATTTCCCACTCTTTGAGACAAATGTCTTACCAATATGTCTAGGGTATTTGCTACTTCTTGTTGACTAGGTCCAGTCAACGTAATGTCATCAATGTAATGGACGACTGTGATGTCTTGTGGAAGGCAAATGCGATCAAAGACCCTGTGGAGAAATTATGACATAGGGTCAGAGAGCTGATACACCCTTGGGGTAGGACAGTAAAGGTATGTTGTTGGCCTTACCAGCTGAAAGCATACTGCTGTTGGTGGGGCTTATGGACAGGGATGGAGAAAAAGGCATTGCCAGATCAGTAGCTGCATACTGGGTGTCAGCGGATGTGTTAATTTGCTTAAGCAATGAAATCACATCTGGAAAAGCATCTGCAACTGGAGTCACCACATGAGTAAGTTTGTGATAATGTACTCATTCTCCCAAGACCTATCTTTTCCTGCATAGGTCAAATAGGTGGGCTGAATGGAGATGTGGTGGAATCGCCACCATTGCATCCGTCAAGTCCTTGATGGTGGCACTGACCTCTGAAGTCCCTCTGGGAATGTGGGCTTGCTTTTGGTTTACTATCTTCCCAGATAGAGGCAGTTCTAGTGGTTTCTACTTGGCCTTTCCTATTATAATAGCCCACACTCTGTAGATCAGGGAACCAATGTTGGGGTTCTGTCGGTTGCTGAGTACAGCCATACCTCATTCATTAACTATGTCTAGGATTTGCTTTAAAGTGTTCCAAACAGAAAAAAAAAAAATTTTTAAGTGTAGGAGAGATCAACAATATGGCAAAATATTGATGACATTTTGAAAATTTCAGGAAAAAAGCAAAAAAAAAAAAAGATGAAATTGTTGCAGATGGTATCTTTGTGTAGAGAAGAAAAAAAAATTGTAAGTTTTTTGATCATGCAGTCTGCTCTTGTTTAAGACCTGTCTTTTTGGATCATGGTTTGCCCCTAAGTTTTTGTTGTTGTTGTTGTTGTTAATAAAGGCCAACTTCAGTATCTGATTTAAACAAACCAGGCTGGACTTGTCAGTTGCTCTCGTTTCATCACATGAAGGATACTTTATTGTCTGAGGCTGTGCTTAGCTGTCTTGAATAGCTAAGTTCATCAACCCAAGCATACCTTGTTTTATTGCTCTTTGCTTTACTGTGTTTTGTAGATGTCTTTGTTACAAATTAAAGGTTTATGGCAACCCTGAGTTGAGCAAGTCTATTGGCACCATTTGTTCAACAGCATATATTCACTTTGTGTCTCTGTGTTACAGTTTGGTAATTCTTGCAATATTTCAAACTGGTTTGATGATTATTATATCTGTTATGGTGCATTGTAATCAGTGATCTTTGATGTTACTATTGTAATATTTTGGGGTGCAATAAACCACACCCATGTAAGGCAACAAACTTAATAAATGTGTGTGTTCTGGCTGCTTCACTGACTTGCTGTTCCTCCATCTCTCTCCCTCCCCTTGGGCACCCCCTTCCCTGAGACACAACAGTATTTAAATTAGGCCAATTAATAATCCTAAAATGGTCTCTAAGTGTTCACATGAAAGGAAAAGTCTCACATCTTTCATTTTGAATCAAAAGCTAGAAATGATTAAGCTTAGTGAAAAAGGCGTGTTGAAAACTGAGACAGACCAGAAACTAGGCCTCTTGTGCCAAAAAATTGTGAATGCAAAGGAAACATTTTTGAAGAAAATTTAAATGCTACTCTAATCAACACATGAATACGAAGCAAGACAGCGTTATTGCTGAGATGGAGAAAGTTTGAGTGTGAGTGGTCGGGACTGAAGATCAAACTAGCCACAATATTTCCTTAAATACTAATCCAGAGCAAAGCCCTAACTCCTTTCAATTCTATGAAGGCTGAGAGAGATAAGGAAGCTGCAGAAGAAAAGTTCAAAGCTAGCAGATGTTGGTTCATGAGATTTAAGGAAAGAAACCATCTCCATAACAAAACTGCAAGGTGAAACAGCAAGTGATGATGTAGATGCTGCAGCAAGGTATGCAAAGGATCTAGCTAAGATCATTGATGAAGGTGCCTACACTAAACACCACATTTTCAATGTAGCAGAATAGTCTTCTATTGGAAGAAGAGGCCATCCTTTGAAGCTTTGAAGCCAGTCATTGACTTCTCCTTTCTAGCACTTTCATAGCTAAAGAGAAGTCGGTGCCTGCCTTCAGAGCTTCAAAGGATAGGCTGACTCCCTTGTTAGGGGTTAATACAGCTGGTGTTTAACCTGAAACCAGTGCTTACTTACCATTTTGAAAATCCTAGGGCTCTTAAGAGTTATGCTAAATCTACCCTGCCCCTACTCTATAAATGAGACAAAGCCTGATAATAGTACATCTGTTCTCAGGTTGGTTTACTGGATATCTCAAACCCACTGTTGAGATTTACTGCTCAGAAACAAGAATTCTTTCAAAATATTACTGCTCATTGAAAACGCACCTGGTCACACAAGAGTTCTGATATGTACAATAAGATTAATGTTGTTTTCATACCTGGTAACAGGATCCATTCTGCAGCCCATAGATAGGAATAATTTTGACTTTCAACTTTCAAATCTTATTATTTAAGGAATACATTTAATAAGGCTATCACTGCCATAGATAGTGATTCCTTTGATGTATCCAGGCAAAGTGAACTGAAAACCTTCCCAGAAGGATTCACCCTTCTAAATGCCATTACGAAAATATATGGCCAGGTACAGTGACTTACGCCTGTAATTCCAACACTTTGGGAGGCCAAGGCCTCCCAAGAGGAGGTCAGGAGTTCAAGACCAGCCTGGCCAACATGGTGAAATCCTGTCTTTACCAAAAATACAAAAATTAGCAGGGTGTGGTGGTGCACACTTGTAGTTCCAGCTACTTGGGAGGCTGAGCCAGGAGAATCGCTTGAACCCGGGAGGCGGAGATTGCA